GTCTATATTGCTTTTCCTTTCAATCACTGGAAACCTTGGAGTTCTCAATTCAGAAAGAATTAATAGGGGTGGATTCTTGGTTAAGAGCCTGTGCTGCTCTTGGAGGACCTGAGTTCAGTTCTAGGACTCACATCGAGAAGCTCAAAATTGCTTGTAATTCCGTCTTCAGGGAACTGAACTTCTTCTGGCCTTCAAGGACATGCATTCTCTTAAGCAGAGACACACTCACAGATACATAAATATGTATACACTCACATATAATTAAAATACAATGAAATTAAAAATTAAAAAAGAATCAGAGGGCATTCATAAAAATTCTGTGTCTACAGGAAAGATGTAAAAGGTGCAGTTCAAAACACACACCAGGCTGAAGCCTACCAAGGAAGCCCAGCATACTTCTTTCATCAGCTTCTTACTGAAGAAGCAAAATGCCCTGATAAAAGATTGGTCAACAATGGACTACGGAGAGACTAATCTCTGGAGATCACGCAAGATAACAAAGCAATGAAGCTCTGCTTTCATTGGAAAATGAAAACTTTCAGTGGAAAGTTAGCCACTCAGGGCTAGTTGTATGAGTCACCACATGCAAGTTATATAATAGAAGTGACTGCTTCATCTAGAAAGAATGCTCTGATTATTAACCAGAGAACAAAAGGCATGAGAGATCAAGATGATGGGTAAGCACTGATGACAGATTAAACAGTGCAATGATTCTTATTAGGTGTGTTTTAGAAGACATAAATTACCAACATGAAATCCCAGCTAGGATTAAAAGATACTAATGACCAGATATGTAAACAGATCTCCCTTATAAATGCAGATATCATTTTTAGTGAGCATAACATTTGTTCATGTGCAGCTTAGGATATTACATGTGGAAAATAAACTCAACTACTTCTGGAGCCATGATAAGGAATACACAACAATAAAAATATTAAACCACACATTTAGGTACATTCTGTACATGAGAATGAAAAGGTGATATGGACTTGAGCGTGTTCACAGGCTAGTCAGCATTATCAAGAGGTTAACATACTCACTAAGGAAATTGATAGGATTTATATCAATAGATATTATAATATAGTGAGAGACATTGTATTTTCTGACTATAATATCATAGAAACTGAAATTAAATTTCTCAAAAGGCAGAAAATTTGACAGAGACAAATTGGATCATATCAAATTCCCATTAGAGCAGATAAGTTATTCTTAATGATAAACAAGTTGACAAATAGGATAGATCTTTCAAAATACCCAAGAGTGGTAACATGCTTGGTAGTAAATGATATAAAAAGAGCGTTTCTGAAAAAGAAAAAAAAGTGCCTCAAATTCTAAATATGCATGTAGATATTTTAGTCCTGCATAGCATTTTCAAAATAAAGACACTGGAATAAAAAACAAATATACAAGCCAAATTAAATGAGGCAAGAGTAATAGATAGCAGGGTGATAAGAAAAGGCAAACAGATATTAACTCAACTTTCTTAAGGCATTCAACAGAAAGAATATTCAAATGATGTGTTAAGAGAGAAGTCATATATAAGACTTATTCCTTATAGAATGGTCTTAAAAGTAAGAAAAAGCGCAAGGAAGTGACATTTAGTCAGTAATTTATTCAGTTAGTCAGTAATGAGTTCAGTCAATCAGTAATGAATTCAGTCAGTCAGTAATTCCAGCATCCCCTCATTAAATCAGTAATTCATTCATTCTGTCAGCAATTTATTTATTCAGTCAGCCAATAATTTATTATTTCCTCCAGAAATTCATTCATTTATTCAGTCAATCACTCATTCATTCAGTCATTAATTCAGTCAGTTAGCCACTAACATTTCCATACAGAAACAGAAGGGTTCTTGATCAAAACTTTGCTTTGGGTGACAAGACTGATGAACACACACACACACACACACACACACACACACACACACACTTTTCAAGAAACTATGAAGAGTCATGTTGGGAGTCAGTGAAACAGCTTAGTAGGTCAAAACACAAAAAGAAAAACACAAAAAAAAAACAAAAAAAGACAAAAAGATTGACCAGGATTAGGGGTGGAAATGAATCCAGTCCTCACCCCCATGAGCAGTTATTACATGCAGTTTGTCATACATTGGACAGAAGATAATGACCCCATATATGAGCTATGGAAGGAAAGTGGCATATTTGGGGAGTTATTACAAGAAATTCTCGGGTATTGAAAAGATTTTGAGCCATCAGAGCATGAGATGTACATCCATAAAAGTGACATTTTATTATGCTGAATTGTTCATAGAACAGAGGGACCAAAACATTGAAGAATAATACTGGGTGGAATTTGCAACAATCTGAATCACTTGTAGTTTTCAAGGGACAGGCAATATGGTAGCTAACAGAAATGGATAACAGAGTAGATTTAAAGTAGAGATGAAGAGAAAAACGTAAAGTACTCCTAAATGTAATGGCTTCTCAGCTGAGCAGGTTGGTTTAGTGTAGTCAAATAGAGAAGGCAGATGTTGAGGCAGTAGGAGTACCTGGATTCAGCCACACTCTCTCACATACTAGTGTCATTTGAGCGAGAATGTGAACACCCAGACACAAATCACTGGAGAAACTTTCAGCTATTTTATATCATTGTGATGGTTAATATTGACTGTCAAGTCAACAGGATCTAGAATGACCTAAATGACTAAACTCTGTGGATGTTTCTGAGAGAGTATCTTTGTTGGTTTAGCTGAGGTAGAAATGCCCATCGTCACAATGAACAGCACCATTCCATGTTCTGAGTTACCAGGCTAAATAAAGAAAATGTGAACTGAACACCAGTGTTTATTTCTCTCTATTTCCAGACAATGAGATCCCATGATCCTGTAACTATGACTTTTTTGCCATGACTGGCTAGTGTCTCCCATAGTTATTATCCAAAATGCACCATTCCTTAAATTGCTTCCGTCAGATATTTTAGGGAAATAAATGAGAAAAATAACTAATAACATCACTATTGTTAGAAGACCAATAAAAAGTAAGATTTAGTAAGACTTTTCTATTGATTTTTATTGAGTTCTACATTTTCTTTGCTCCCCTCCCTGCCTCTCCCTTCCCCACTTCAACCCTCACCCAAGGTCCCCGTGCTCCCAATTTACTCAGGAGATCTTGTATTTTCTACTTTCTACCTTTCTACTTCCCATGACAAACAATGCTGCTATGAACATAGTTGAGCACGTGTCCTTGTGGCACAATTGAGCATCTTTTGGATATATACCCAAAAATGGTATTACTGGGTCTTGAGTAAGGTTGTTTCCTAATTTTCTGAGAAATTGCCACACTGACATCCAAAGGGGTTGTACCAGCTTACATTCCCATCAACAATGCAGAAGTGTTCCCTTTTCCCCACAACTTCTCCAGCATAAGTTGTCATCAGTGTAAGTTCTCATACTTTATCTCAACCATGTTGGTTAGCAAAAATTGTGAATTTGCCTGTAAGATAATGTAGAATGAAAGATGGAACTAAAATCTCTCCTGGGAAGGAAATCGAGGAAGCTATAGGTGATGCTGCCAGTCTGAATGAGATCTATGCTCAGTTCTCTGAAAGATATCAGAATGGCCTTTTTCTCTGTTCTTGACTGCACTTGAAATGACGTAATGACTGAAGATGTAATGGTCAGCGTGATAAAATCAAAGCATTTAATAGTAGCATTTAAGCAAAAATGAAAGGAAGACTTTGTGAAGCAGCAACCTTGCTAGTCTTTGATATGAAAATATTTGAGAGCAGTATCTTGATCACAGTCTTGTAGGAAAACCAACCAAAAATAAAAGGTGACAAAATTAAGAGACAGTTATAAATTTAAGGCAAGAACATGTAAACATAAAGGACTAGAGTGGAGAGAAGTTGGATATTTGTTTTTGGTAAACTGGAAATTTTCTTACTACAATTATATCATGATGTTCAAATGGGTCACATTAAGGTAGGCAGTCTTTAAATCTACTGGGCGTAGAGACCAGTACCTTAGCTTTTGCTAATGATGTAACTAACATTCATGCTGGTACTGGAATTCTAAATATGGGGCCATCAGATATTTGTCTGCCCATTAGATTTCCCTCCACCTGGCATGCTCCAGATGCTTCTAGAACTGAGAAAAACTTGCATTTTATTTCTCATGTATCAAAAATGTCACCCAGGTTCTGGCTACTATGAATAATGCTATTATGAACATAGTTGAGCAAGTGTCCTTGTGGCGTGATTGAGCATCATTTGGGTATATGTCAAAGAATGGTATAGCTGGGTATTAAGGTAGATTGATTTTCAATTTTCTGAGAAACTGCCCTATTGACTTCCAAAGTGGCTATACAAGTTTACACTCCCACCAGCTGTGAAAGAGTCTTCCCTTACTCTACATCCTCTCCAACATGAGCTGTCGTCAGTGTTTTTGATCTGAGCCATTCTGACAGGTGTAGTATAGAGTAATAAAGAGTCACTTTGGTTTGCATTTCCCTGATGACTAAGGATGTTGAGAAATTCTTTAAGTGTCTTCCAGTCATTTGAGATTCTTTTGTTGAGAATTCTCTGTTTAGGACTTGGTCCTGCCTCAGCTAGATGTGCCATGCTTTGTGCAAGCTTATGGAAGGTCTGTTCCTTTCTGAATGGAGATGGAGGAGGAGAAGGGGAGGACATATGGGAAGCAGTAAGGGAAGCAGGGGAGACTGGCAGGAGAGGAGGGAAGTTGTTGCTAAATAAAATAATTGAAAATGTTATTGAAATAAAATAGAAACAAAGTCATCCATTTCCCCTATTACCTCCTATTAAATTGCTTTTTCTAACCTGTCATTTCCCTAATAGTCTCCTGTAGTTTCTTATTTTGTTGACCTCTTCTTCCTCTGATTTATTTCAACCTTTTAGAAAATCTCTTCCTACAAAATTCTTACTTTTCAAGACATTAGGTTAAGGGTGTCCTCCACATGAGATTTGTAGTTTGTTGAACTGTGAATTTTATTTTAATTCTAGTGCTTGAGCAATAAAGTCTATTATGTTGTTTGGCTTTCGTAGAAAATAGCGCAGATGCATCTCAGTTTACAGTGGAACTGTAACAGTAGCATTCCATAAAATGAAATATTTTAAATTGAAAGTGGAGTTGATGTTCTAGCTTCCGAACACAATAGCTGGGTAGCAATGTGCAGATGCAGGCGTACCTTGAGTTATCGGCAGAATCATGGACTGACACAGGGCTCCAGTAACTAGTTCAAGGGCATTGTGTTATGAATCACCAGCCTAGGAAGAGAGCAAAATTAAAATCTGAAGCCCTGTTTCTGTAGAATTCATAATATTGTGCACAGTCTGGAAGCTGAAAAGCGCACGATGAATTGTGCTTTATTAGTAAGAGTTTGCACACTGGTCCTACTAGGCAAAGGGTGACTGGTTGGAGTGACATTTATAGCTTCCTCTTACGACTGTGATTATCTGGTTGATAGTTTGCAAAGTGGGAAGTGGAGGGCATGTTTAGCTTCTCCCCCACAAATTTGATTTCTGTTTCTTCCAGGTCTTCTCTTTCTTGTTTCTGGACTTCGAACATTTTAAAATTCCAAAAGTGAATAAGTTCAGGGAGGAAAATCAGCTCAGAATGTTTCTGTCTAGAAATTCATCTAGGAGGGTTGCTTCTAGTAAAAAAAGGAAAAAAATGGCTTAGAAGTGCTGCCAAATTACCTAAATGATACAGTTACTTTAACGATAGCAACTACAATCCAGAGAATAGTGTTTGTGGGAGCATTTATGTATTAGAAAAAAATCCAGGTGTTGTATATGAGTGTCTACAATGATCCTCTTACCAATCTTATGATGAAAAGATCCTTTTATCAATCTTATGATGCACCATGACTAAGAAACATGCTCATGGTAAACCTCTGGCAAACCATGGGGGATAACAGTGAAGTGTGGGCTTTCTGACTCTACAGCTGGTATGTTTAATATTGCCCTGTGTATGTGGAAAAGACTTGAAAGTGATCAAGAATCTTTCTGTAATGAGAAGACATATAGTCAACTGAGGGTGGTGAATTAGTGATCTATAAGACATTAACTCTTAAATTAGTGACATTTCAACTCACATCCAAGAAAAAACTGGAAGATTTTAAAACATATTTCAAAACAGACTTTTTCTTATTTTTCCCCATGAGTTCACCAAAATTCCTTTATTTTATGAAATAAAATACAACTGTGTTTTGGCTATTTCTACAATTGCTTAAAGCAAATTGGTGGCTTCTAATTACATTTTTTAAATTTATTTATATTTTTCTTTTCTTATATTTTTATTGATTATTTAGGAATTTCACACCATGCACCCTGATTATACTTACTTCCCAGTCCTCCCAGGTCTCCCCCTCCCCTTTTACCTCCCCATCCTCCAAAAAGAAGGACAAAAAGGTTCAGTTTGTGTCACTCTTGGGACAAAACAAAATAAGAAGGCAAAGGTATTTTTGCCAGAAACATAATCTTTTAGTATTTTAAGATTCCTGGGTTATCTTCAAAATCCAACACTAAAAATATGCTATTTGATAAACACATGAGACCTAACTAAAAGTTACCGAGAGCAAACAAAAGACCAAAGGAACTGTTTCCACTAAATTTCATTGTTAGAACAGTAATTCCCACTTATTCTATTTATTATTTTAAAAATTTCTTAAATATTAACATATTTCCTTTATTGTTATTTCATTCATGTTCTCTATTAAGATCTAAATCTGGATCAGGTGAAAAATCTCAATGTTCGTGGAATGGAATGTTTTATTTCACATCCTTGGTAACCTAAGTATAGTGATGAAAAGTGCATGATCTGGGACAAGCTGGTCACTCACAAATGAGATCTCAGACAAGATATGAAGACTCTGAACTACAGGGAGAGAAATTTAATTATTATTAATAATATTCTAAAAGGGATGTTGGACTTGTTAGCAGTAAGCATGGATGCTTACATCTTGTTACTGTTATAGTCTAACAGATTCCCCAAATGCCTTTCATGTTGGGTCGAGATTCCTGTTTCTATGGCAACCTGCAGAGAGTTAAGAAGGGTACTGTTAAACTGTACTGCAATTTTGCTTAGTTTTTCTGAAAGAAAAATGTCAGAGGAAACCATCTCTCTACCCATGGTTATAATGGGAGCTCCTCCCTCCCCACCCACCAGCTTCTGTTCTGCTGCTAAAGAACATATGAGAACTAGCAAATCAGAACTCCATTTAATAATTTACTGTCTTTTATGTGAGCTGTGGACCCTTTGGTGGGTTTAGGGCTCGTGTTTCTAGCATGTTATCATAGACATATCTGTAGGAATTGATCAAAACAGACAATGATGCCAAACAGCACGAGAAACAACAATGGGAACACCTGCAATGGCCCGATTCCTAGAGGCTGCTTTTAAATTTGCTAAAACTACTTCCTCCAGGGTGATCTTTCTCTGTTCTGCTTGCGAAGCTTTGCTATTCTTTGTATTTTGAAAGGAATGAAAATATAATGAACATTTCTGTTGTTCTGCAAGGAATCCAAATCAAAGCTCTGACAGGGGACATCCACCCACACGTTTGCTGCAGCTTTTCCTAATTCATTCATTATCCTGCCTCAAGCTTAAGACTGAGCTGTGTCACCCAGAATGACAGAGGCAGCTTGTCCACTGGCAGTGCTCCCAGACCATTGTGTTTAATGATAGACAAATGAAACAATTTTAAAACTCCATCTATTTGCATATGTCATAGAACATTTGCTGCTAATGTTTATTGAACTCCTACTGTGTTGCAGGGATTATGTTAAGTGCTTATATATATCTTCTAAGGGGAGGCTTCACAATAGCAAAATATGTGAAATATAGATAATATCCCATTTTATAAGTCATTAGATTCCTTTGATCATCTTCTACAGGAAACTATCCTAAATAATCATTAACTATTAAGATATTCTAAATAAATAGACTTGAAACTGTCTACTTCTACCTTAAGCATTTTTCTACTGCTTGAAACCTAAGTAAATATATACATATTTCTAAATGTATGTACCATTAGGAGTCTTACGGAAGCTTGGTTCCACACAGGAAGGCAGTGACTTGTGAGTTCTCCCATTGCTTACCATGTTGATGTTGGAGATCAAGAACCTATATTTTACTTCTTTCAAGACATTCTAATAGTCACTGAAATACACACATTTTTTTAAAAAGCTTCAATAAGAAGCTTGAGAACCAAGAATTGGATTGGTGGCTGCCTAGCCGATTATTCTCCATATATTAATGATTTCCCACCTTCTTCCTCTGAAATATCCACATCAGCAGTGACAGTAACAGCACAGAGGACATGCGGAAGCAGGAGTGATAGGGCATCAGGTGTGGTGAGGCTTCCTGTAATGGGGAGCAGTTACAAGCATAGCTCTTAAGAAGATTGTCTACACATGGCTGGGACTCCGTTTGCTGAACTTCCCATAGAAATGTAGTACTTTTTTGTTTCAATGTATTTTTTCCTGCTAAGCAAATGAAGCAGAACAGAAATCTGTTTACTGCTTAATTAAATGAAACTGTATTTCAAAGTCTTGTTCCATAATTTTGTTCCATGATTTTGTGATGATGCAAGTGGCAAGGGTAATTTATTTGGTTAAATGGCAATAATAAACACACAGAATAGAGATGAAATAATTCAGATATTTCAACAGTTCCTACTATTAAAGTTACTCACTATCAAGAATAAATTTTATGTGTTTTATAAAGTATTCATTTCACACAGCAGTCATCCTTCTATGCCCTGAATAGTTTCCTCCAAAATGCAGGTGTTACATGCAATTGTTGTGGATGGAATATTTGTTTAACTATGCAAAGATGTGTTTCATTTGTTTAACTATGTAAAGAGGTGTTCCTTTTTTTTTAATTATTTAAAGATCAGTTGCTGTTTTATCTTGCCTGCCTAAGACACCTGCTTGGTCTAATAAAAAACTGAACAGCCAATACTGAGCGAGGGAAGTAGTATAGGCAGGACTTCTGGGCAGGGAGCATAAGAAGTATGAGGAGGAATTTAGGCTCAGAAGAGAAACACAAGGGATGTCATGAAGATGACATACAGGAAGTAGAAAAGTAGGACAAACAGAATTGAAACAGGAAAAAAGCCCAAGGCAAAATGAAGATGACTAGATAGAGTTAAATTAAGTTAACAGAGCTAGTGAGACAAGTCTAAGCTATGGCTAAACATTTATAATTAATAAGTCTCTGTGTTTTTATTTGGGAACTGATTGACAACCCAAAGAATATTCCAACTACATGTAATTGCAATGAGATGAAGGGAGAGGGGGAAGTTAAGGAGATCTAGGCACGAGGGCTTCTCTCTCTGATAGGGTTATAAATGAGGTTTCACTCAGCCTTTAGTTAGTTTGCTTTTTCACCTTCTTTCTACTCTGTGACAACAAAGTATTTGTCCCATCAAGAGTGACTGCAAAAAGGTACCATCTTAGAAGCAAGGACCAGGCCTTGACCAGATATTCCTATCTGAAATCACTGTGAACTCCTCAGCCTGTGTAGGACTATGAGAATGGTGCTTATGAATTCAGTTGTGTTAAGGAGTTTTCTGTGGCTATAACACAGTACCCGTAACTAGAACCTTACAAGAGGGAAACACTTCATCTTGTGGCTTCCAACGTGTTAGTTATGGAGAGCTGACAAAATTGCTTTGAAGATTGTGGCATTCACCATGGTAGACTCATGTAACAGAGTAGACTGCTTAGCTTCTGTAAGTAAGAAAACAGAATAAAAGGATAGGGCTGAGTCCCAGTATTCATCCTCAATGACCTCATTAACACCAGCCCTACCTCTTGAGGGTTTCTACCATTCCAATCTAGGCACCACACATTTAGTATATTGGCTTTGGCAGTCATTGAAGATCCAGTCATATATAGTCTCTTTGGCAACAAGTAAAAAAAAAAGGAGTTCATCAGTAACCCTGGCACTCAGGAACTGAGTTAATGTAGCTATGTGAAGTAAGGCCAACCTGGTTTACATTCAGTTCCAGACTATCCAAAGCTACATTGTGAGACCTTGTATCCAAACATAAAGATGAAAGCTACAGTGAAAATTATATGTTACTATTATTTTAATATGTTAACTTCTAAAGAGAGAACCTAATGTATGACTATTTCTATAAACAGAAAGTAAAATATTCTGGTTCCCAACTCCAGCTTCATCATCTCATTGGCATGCCAAAGAGCAATGAAACTCTCTTGGGGAGAGGTTATGGACACATGACTGTTTAACAAATTGCTTAGAAATTTTCTAAAACAATGTTAACATTTCGTTAAATATCAATAAATCATTTAGTTGCAATAATATCAGGACATTCCTCATTTTACTACATTCATTAACTGACCAAAGAAAAGACCCAGGATTGCTTGAAAGTGAACTTGATCATAAGAGTAAAGTTCAGTACTCACACTTCAGAAACACATTTATTTAATCACTCATGGATATGACCCTCGCAATGACATGTCAGGGATGGTTTGTTCTAACTTAGCAAATCTACGAAAGACTGCAGCACCAAGCTTCAGAAACAGTTGAATGAGACACAGTCAGTATTGAAAATGTGGGCATACATGGCTAGAAGTAATTACTTATTTTTCTGGGACTCTAAATTTGAGGCAGTGGATTGGAACCAAGACCTCAATCTCCATTTTATTCTGCTTGCATACTGTAGGTCCCATGGTGTACTATTTTTTAGCAATGATAGAGATGATATACAATAATGTATTCAGTTTTTACCATAACCAGATACTCCTTTATATCCAATAACTACATCTTATGTTGAAAGTATAAGTCAAATTAAATTTAATACACCCAACATATCATGTACCAGACTGAGTACCACATTACCCCGTGGAGTGTTAGACATTTCCCAAGAGGCCATTCTCAACTGACTCAAAACCATGACTTTGGTCCTGCCTAAAATCAGGAGAAATTTTCTTTCTGTACTGCCAAACATAAAAACAGAGTATCTCCCCATGTACCACTAGCTTAAAAGAAGATAAAATTAAAAATTCATAGAGGGATTCTGAATTATGCATATTTCTTTATACCTTGACGAATCAAAAAATAATCATTAATTTGAGTACTTTAATTTGATAGCTACTTATAATGTGAGAGGGTGTCAGTGGTTCAATCAATTAAAGTATATTTTAAGTGACAATAGCAGTGTTCTCTTTTCTTATGATTTAATACAATCTATAGACAGATATATAAGAAGGTAAAAATCAAAATACATGTTTGAGAAGGTAGTAGCATTGAAAGGGGTTAGGTTTGGAAATGTTGGCTCTCCTTGTGCCCTAGATTCAATTTATAAATAGGCAAGCAAAGGAAAATTTGAATGTGCAGAGAGCTTGCTTACTTTTCATGAACAGAAGTCAGGTCAGGGAAAAGAATGGAAAGATAGAGAAAAATTTATGTGCAAAAGTTTTGGTTATATTAGCTCCATTTGACAGCAAATGATGTCTGTAGGACTCTGTACCAGCTTTTGATGGGAAAGGTGATGGCAGCTGATCCTGGAAGGTTTATGTATGGACTCTTAACAAAAATCAGAATGGAAGGCAATGCATATCTTAAAATAGCAAGCTAATTATGACCTCATGCATTTGTTGAAAATCATGGATTAATACTTGAGGCCCAATATAAATAAATAGCAAAAACACTATGTATAGAACTGTAAAAACAAAATTCCTTAAGACAAAACATCCCCGATTGACCTGCGATGTTTAGTTTATCTTCAAAGTCTTCATCAAATAACCATGATGGGGTTTATTGTATATAGTTTAATTCAACTTTTTTTTGCTCTTTTTTCATTCTCTGAGTATAATTTAAAGAGTACCAATATTCGTAAAAAGTACCCTTATCAGTAAGTATGAACAGAAGCCCAGCTTTACTGAGAACTCATTAAGACTGTTTATTGAGTCAGGGACAATGGGGCATCTATAACCCAAGCACTTAAAATTCTGAAACAGGGGGATTGTTACAAATTTAAGGATAGACTGAGATATACAGAAAAATTCTGTCTCAAAAACACTGAAACAAACTATTTGACTGAAAATAATAGTGGCCATTCTGAATTTGGTCCATGTTTTTCGAAAGCTGCTTCCCAAATTGTCTTCTCAACTGCACACACAATTACAGTTCTATTCCCTACCATATTGTATACCCACTATGCCTCAGGACCCTAAGTTCTTGGACCCATCCATTGTATTCCAATTTCCTTCAGCAAATGTACCATAATGTATTTTCATTGCTCATTTGTCAAGATAAGATAAGGGTTTAGTGCATCCAAGAAGTTCTTAGCACTCCTAGTCAGAGTGGTCCCTTATTTCTCTCAACCACTTTGTCTATAGCATTTCCCATGTTACACATATAGCTCAATATCTTGACAGGCTATTTGTGTTACTAACTAGTTAATGGATACAACTTGTGTATTTTACATAAGACCCTGGGTTTATGGTAAAGGAAAGGGATGTATCTTATTTGGATCAGTTTGCTTCACACATTAAGAAACAAATACAGACTATGAGTCTGATTTCTTGCATAATCAACAAGAAGTTGGATATTTGGAAAGAAACCCTAGGATCTTTGATAGAGAATTTCTCACTGTCTCTAAGACCCTGAACATTAGTGCCTCTGGTTCAAAACACCCCAGGGACCAAAAACAATTTAAATCAAAACAATAGCAATCTTCCCACTGTGGCAAAAGAAAGTCAAGTGACTGAGGGCCTGTAATCAGAGCCTGTGGTAAAACTAACCTAAGCAATTTTATGAGAGCAGGCCAAAACTTTCCCTTTTCTTCTGTGTTTCCCATTATCAGTATGTCCACATTATAATCTCAGCAGCCTAGAAAGAAGTCTATGTACCTGAGACAGTATGAACTGGATCCTTCTAAAAAAACTTTGTGTACTTTAAAGAAAGTATGACAATGTTAAATAAACTTTCCAGAAGAAGCATAGCTTGAAATCCTTTGTAAGACGTTGCATATTGCCCTTTACAGTCTGCATTGAGTGACTGACTTCCATTGTCAACTTGATTAGCTACCATAATTGTTTCCTTATATGAATTCTTATAGGCTGCATATTTCTGAGGTAGAAAAAGTCTCTTATAATCAAATTTTAGCACCTTATCCAACAGGACTCCAAGCATGTCAGTCAGACGAAAAAAATGGGTGAGTATAGATTAAATCACATCACATTACCAATCATTGACTTTAATAAGTATAGTTCATAATAACCAATACTTTATGAATAATAAATGTATATAAAGTTAACTAGTTTCATTGTAAAGCAAAATAAGTGTGTGTGTATGTGTGCATGTGCTTGTGTGTGTGCGCGTGTGTGTGTATGTGTGTGTATGTCTGTGAATGTTTAGGCTAGAGATCAGCCTTAGGTGTCATCCCTCAGGATCTGTCTGTCTTATATTTTCTGACAGCCTTTCATTGGGATCTGGGCTAGACTAGCCAGTAGATTCCAGTGATCTACTTGTCTTGACATTTCTGGCTCTGGGACCACGAGCATGAACCACCATTCCTAGATTTTTATTTTAATTCTTGGGGGCAGAATTAGATGTTCATATTTGGGTAGCAAACACTTCATCGACTAAGCCATCTCCTTAACCCCAGAGGGACATGAGAAAACAGATAGGCTGAAAACCTTTCCAAAACAAACCAATTTAAGTTAATTATCATTCATACTTTTAAGGACACATAAATATGCTCACTCTCAAAAGTTATTCAGCTCTGTAAGAAGATGGATACAATGTTGAATGGTATAGCTTTATAGTCCTGTTGCCTCTGCTGATGGTTTGATACCACACTTGCTAGCTATATGACCTTAGCTTATAGTCATATGACCTGGACCTCTGCATTTCAGCTTTCTCATTTTAAAATTGTAAGAATGATACTGTCTAATTATAACAGAATCCTTTAAAATAGTTCTAAAGTGTTGATAACAACTTGTGGACATGGTAAATATCAAATATTAACTGTAATACTTTATATACTATAAAGTGTGTGATTTTAGTGACTTTCAGGCTCACACTTGCTATGCGCCTTGTGCTTCAGTACCACTTGATGACATTGTAGTCAGGGTTGGAATTAAATGAAAATGCTGAGTACTAGCAATGGTATATATTCAAAAATTTAAAGGAAAGGTTGTTTTAAAATTACCCATCATTTGCCAGGCATGGTGGTATGCACCTTTAATCCCAGCACTTGAGAAGCAGAGGTAGGTGGATCTTTGTAAGTTTGAGTCCAGCCTGGTCTATAAAGTAAATTCTAGGATATCAAAAGCTACACAGAGAAATCCTGCCTTGAAAACCAAAAGCAAAACAAAAAAGTACCTGTTATGTGCTTTGTGCAGTCACATTCCTAGTATTATGGGATTGGGGGTTGGGAATTGGGGAAGATGTCAAATACTTTTTAAAGCTTTAGCCTAGGCCTTTTCTTTTCCATTTGCCACTGTCCATGCCATTCCTGATCCCTGGCCTCCAGTAGGGAGACTGGTGTTCTGGGTAACTCATCTAGTTGCAAGCTCATAGACTAACTGATCACCATTCCTTACTATAGATGACTATGTCTAGAATTCTAGCAACTGCTGTAGAGAGAATTCCTAGGGAGAAGATGACAAACTAGAGTCAGAGATAGTTAGGAGACACGTGGAGACACAATTAAAACTTGGATTTGGATTTAGCAAATGGGTATTAAATTTAGACA